ATCGGCCCAGCGCCTCAGCAGCGGCCTGCTGGCTTTCCGGAAGAGGCCTCCGCAGAGCTAAGGGATGAAACAGAAGCAGATCAACTTTCACATATTCTTCTTTACATGACCTTTTAACATATTACGCGGTTTGTACCACATTAACAGCTCTGCTATCTTCCCTGTTATAATCTATTCACTTTGGCAATTCTACATTAAAATTCATGGATTACAGCCGTTCCATATTTTCCATGATTCGGACTGACCGTTTACTTCAAAAATTACGGCCCGACCTTTCCACTCGAGCTGCTCCGCTTGGACCGCCCACTTATGATTCGGTCTTCTAATGGCTGTTACTTATCATTTCTGTATCGGCATTTACTTTTTTTTTTTTTGCAGATTGGATGTAATGGAACGAAGCAGGGAGCGAAGACGCAAGCAAATCGAAGGTGGATTCGTGCAACCAAATCGACCCAGCTCGGCAGAGCCCCCGCAGAATGTTCAACCGGTGAATATTTGAAACAGAGCTTTTGTAGTTTTTCTTTACCATTAATTACTAAGTGAGCGCTTTATGTTCAGTTCCATCCGATGAGGTTTTGTAAATGCCTAGCAAAGACAAAGTATTAGTGGCTACTGAAACAGAAAATCCTCCCCTGGTTCCTTTACCTTTAGCTTTTATATCAAAGTCGTTATGCACAAGCTAGTACAGTTCGGAATTCTAGAAAATGAGAAAAATGAAAATTACACATATAATAGATTTAATGTCTGACCTATAATTCAGCCTATTTCCCTCCTCTTACTGATTCTTAACACTTCGACCTACTTCGTTCCACTCACGAATTTCTAATAATTCCACCAAATTCTAAATAATTCCACATTACTTGCCTTCTGACTTACTAACTACTTTGCCTTCCTTTCCCCTCCATTAACTTTCCCTGTATAAAGCCCTTCTAAAAACCCAGGTTCTTAATCTCGGAATCAACGCGCGTCACTGGTCTGCCACGTCCTGCCACAACTGATTCTATTGACTGGCCTTCTCGACACGGCTAGCGTCCCACTTCTGCTCAATAGCTTGTGCGGTGCCTCAGTTCGTCATTGTATTGAAGTGAAGCATATTTCTGAGCCAGTTCTTGGTTGCACTCATTTTTTACAGTTATTTGTAGCTCGAATATGAATAGTAATATGGGGAGATGTTTTGATAATGTTCAGAAACATGTAGACTTCTCGCAATGTATACTTTTTCTTTTTTTTTTTTTAAAAAAACAGCTGGACTGAAGGGCTTTTTTTTTTTTAATTTTAGGTAGAGAATACGCCAAGATTAATGCCAACTTTGCCACCAAATGTGCAAGGACGAGCGTTTCCTGCTTGTCAAACAGTTGCGCATTTAGGTCTACCTGGGAGCATTGACGGGGTTAGTGGTACATTTTTGTTGCAACCATTTTATTTATTTTTTTGTTTCCAATCGTTTTGTTTTATTTTAAAATTTTCCAGAAAATTATCACTTTGGCTACTTGCCAAAAACTGTTGAATTTTTTTTTTTAGAACACATTGCTGCGTACGATTTATGATACTGGAATACGCGATGGGCAGTGGCGTGAACGATGCCATATTTATTCGGATCAGATAAAAGGACTTAAAAGGGATTTGGAGCATGCAAACAAGATAATTGTTGCAATGAGAACCAAAAGTACTTTGGACGCTGCTTGTTCTCCACCGACCGAAAATGGTTAGTGTTTTAATAAAAGTAATAATGGCAATAATAATGGTAATAGTAATAATAATAATAATAATAATAATAATAATAA